AAAGATAAAATGATTTCAAAGTTGTCTGGTAATGATAGAATAATTAAGACTTCGTGTCCCTGTGATTGAGGGGCTTTTAATTCTTGATCGATCCACCGCCCTCTCCCCAACCCGGGAGAAAACTCCCATATAGCCTGAAAAAATCATTAAATATCATTTTGTACTTTTTGCATATTGTTGTAGCATTGAGTATGCACTTTATTTTTCATTATCGTTTTTGTGCTTGTGGGTGCCGCTTTATTTGTATTATTATTATTTTTCAATAGACCGAGTCATAACTCATGGCCAGCAGGCAGAAATATGTTTCCAACCCAAAAACATTGATCGTATATCCATGGTAATGAAAGAACTTTATTCATTGATGAATGTGGAAGATCCGCTGTACGTTTTACAGATGAGTCAAGATTCGCTCTTCGATCTCCAGACGGGGTTGAAAGGGTGTGGAGAAGAAGAAACGAAAGATATGCAGCCTGTAATTTTTCCCAGAGCCAACCTTTCCAACGTGGTTCCTTAATAGTGTGGGCTATCCTCAACGAGATCGGCGATCGTTTTATTCTAATGCACGATAATGCACGCTCACATGTCGCCCGCATAGTGCAGATGTTCCTTCAACAGAACGATATTGAGGTTTTAGCCTGGCCAGCACGTTCTCCAGATTTGAACCTTATTGAGCATTTATGGAATAACCTCGGAAGACGAATAAGAGCGCGTGCAACACTTCCTGATACACTGCAGGACCTTGAAAGGGCTCTTCGGGAGGAATCCTCCAGCAAAGGGACATTTCCCGACTGGTGGAAAGTATGCCGAGGCGTCTTCAAGAAGTAGTGAAGGCAAGAGGAGGAAAAACGCGCTACTAAACGATGATGTAATTAATTTCTTTTAGAATAATAATGGTTCGTTTTGGAATCTTGGAAACATTGGAATCTAGAATCATTTCATTGAATTAAGGATTAAGGGTTATTGTCCTCTATATTAACATTCCTAATTGAAAACAAACAAAAAGATTACCTATTCATTCATTAAAAACAATAGACCAATCCAAAGCAGAAATATTTTTAGATGAAAACATGAAAAAATCAAGTGGGTGGAATTTTTTGCCTGTCAGTATATTTGTAATCAGCGTAAAATTTCCTATAAGAATCTATAGAAATATGAATTTTGTTCATTGGGATCATTCTCACTCGAATCACTGTGCGCCGGTTCGAATCCGGCCTTGGAAGAATTGACTTTTATTTCGTGGCGAACCCACGGAATGAAACTCGACCTCCCCACTCTGGTTAGAATAGTTTTGGTTATACCTCTAGAACTATCCCCCCGTATGAAAAACATGGTGTGTAAGTCATATATAAAAAAAAATCATATAAAAAAAAGATGCCCATTGCATATTCAGTAAAACTTAAGGGAATAAATCAGAAATATACAATCTCCATTTATATAATGTTAATTTTACCGTGGAGCAAATGAAAACAATAATAGTGCTCTCCTTTCCTTACGGCGATCTTTGCAATAATTTCTTCACAGAGGCTTCACTAACTACTCGTAGAAATTATAATTGAGCTGTGCAGACAGTTAAGGAGATTCTTTGAGCGGAAGGTGTGGGCACCTCAATGTCTTTAACCTAAGGCTAGATTATCCAGTAAACCAAAATGCTCAAGGATATTATAAATAAGAAATTCTCGACTAACACTGGCAAAAACCCTCGGATACCTTTCTAATATTTTTCGACCTTGGAATACCAAAAAAATTTCGTTGAAATCGGTACCCCTAAGTCTTTAACCTTTCCTTGTATGAGATATTAAAATAAAACAGATAATAACCTAAGATTATTTTGCCAGTCAAGCACCAAAATAATAATAATAATCACAATTAAGCTTTGATTAACATTAAAATCAAACATTGTTCTTAAACTTTGATACTTGATCAGGAACTAAAACAGGTTATACCAGGCTTGCTTAAATACTTATATATATTTAGTATTAATATTTTAGATGAAATCCAATTTTGTCCACTAGTTAATGTGATAAAAACGTATCGTTAACAGTCATTAAAGAGGTAAGGTGGCCAGATGGTGGAGAAACCACTATAGACGGCTACACACTGTTCTACACCGGGAGAAACGACAAAAATGGGACAGCTCGCACTGGATTTATAGTTAATCCGGCCGCAAGGAAGTAATAAACTTCACTCCAGTTAATGAAAGGATAAGTGTGCTATACGTAAGAGGTCGTTGGTTTAATATCACGATTATCAATGTATATGCACCAACCGATGAAAAATAGGATGAGGTGAAGGAAGATTTCTACGATCAGTTAGAAAAAGTTGTGGACCAGGCTCCAAAATATGACATAAAGTTAATCAAGGGAGACTTCAATGTCAAGATAGGTCGAGAAACCCAATTTAGGCTCATCATTGGAGGCCAACTAGTTTCCACGAAACCATCAGTGATAATGGAGTGAGATGTATCAGTCTGGCAGCAGCTAAATGTCAAGTAGCGTTCAGTACGATGTTCCCGCTCAAGGCCATACATAAGTACACCTGGGTAAGTCCTAAAGGAGCAAAAAGCCAAATCGATCACTTGCTGGTAGAGGCATCAAAGCTCCATACAAAACGTACCAAGGACCATACTCTGGTTACAATCAATCTCTATCAAAGGCTGAAGCGAATGGTGGAAATTGGGATCCAAGTGGAAAGATAGAGGTACGAAGTCCGTAATTTGAAAGACCCTCTATTACAGACTGAATTTCAAATTGAGCTGAAAAATAAATTCGAATCCTTGAACGCGGAAAGCCTCACGGTTGACCAACATTTGGAGGCACTAGAGTCAGGGCTAAAACAAACAGCTAAGGATGTAATAGGGATGTAGGAAAAAGAAAAGCCAAGAAATGGTTCATAGAAGCATGTGAAAAGGCGGTGAAGGAAAGTAGAGAAGAAAAAGTCCTCTGTTTAGCAAAAACTGACCAGGCTATGCTCGATAAATACACAACCATCAGGAAAAAGACAAACAAAATAATACGAACAGCGAAAAGAGAATTCCTCAAAGAAAGATTACAAACTATTGAGAAAACTGGCAGGAGGGAAATATATGCTAATTCTTCGCAGATATCAGGTAAGAAAGGGCAGAATATAAAGTGAGAATTACGCAAATGCTAGGGAAAGATGGCAAATTGACGGTATCAAGGACACCTCACAAACGAAGAAGACATGGACCACACTGAGGACATCGACACACTTGAGGTTGAAAAGCCAGATATTCTAGGAGTGGAAATAGCTATCGGCAGGCTTGAAAGAAGAAAGACTGGGGGCGAACACCTGAAAACAGAGTCAAGCTGTTTAGGCAATTTTCCACTTTTATAAAAGTAAAGCCAAATAACTCCAATGAGTTCAACTTAGGCAACATTCGACATTATTTTGACAGTGAACTGTATTTTTATTGAATTTGGTAGATTATATGGTTTATGAAAAGTAAAACTTACTCTTTTATGGCAGCATAGATATCTTATCTGGCTGCGAGGGCCCCCTCCTCCAGTCTTAGTTCCTCTCTTCTCAAAAGACTGGCCCCAAGTGGGTGAGAAAGGCTCGTAGCTTGAGCCTCTTAACTCGCAGCGTTGGGGTACAATATTACTTCCACAAAACAAAAGCTGTTAGATCTAATCCAGAAAATATGGGAGGAAGAACAGATGCCAGAAGCTTGGAACACAGGCCTGATCTGTCCTATCCCTAAGAAGGACTCCACGTACAATTACGGAGCCATAGCGGTTGTATATTAGATAATGACTAATATTCTGCTGAATCGAATATCTCCTTATTATAAAAACATAATAGGCGAACACCAATCAGAATTCAGGAGAGGAAGAAGTAAGTTAGACCAGATATTCATTCCAAAACAAGTACTCCAAAACGATGGGAAGTAGATCAAGACGTACACACCTTATTTGTCGACTTCAAAGGAACCTATGACTCTGTGGACAGAACCTGTCTCTGGAAGATCATGACCGAGCTGCGTGTTCCTGAGAAGTAAGTGGAATTGACGAAGGCTGATACAAATGATCCTAAATGCAGGTTACTAATACAAGGAGAAATATCTGAAGTCTTTGAAGTTCGAACGGGTTTGAGGCAGGGAGATGGACTCTCGCCGATGATGTTAAACTTATCCATAGAGAAAAAGATGAGAGCAAAATCATGAAGATGGCGGGGTACACGTCGGAATGAAACATAAAGTTCTAGCATATGTGGATGATATAGCTGTCCTCGGAAGCAACCAAGAGGATATTGAGAGACTCGATCGGACTCTATTAAGTGAAGCAGAGAAAATTGGACTAAAAGTCAATGTAGATAAAATAAAATATATGATAGCTGAAAAATCCACCCTAACATGATCTGCGTGGAATCTAACTGATTCCGAGTGTAGACAAATCCAAATACCTTTGCTCCGTAATAACCTCAATAAATGATCATCTAATAAATGTTATCATCTAACTGAGATAAACCAGCGAATAACAAGTGCGAACAGAGCTTTCTTTTGTTTTCAAGGGTACCGAAATCCATAAAATTTTCCAACAATCTAAAGCTAAGGGTATACAACGTGATAAAGCCAGTTCTGCTGTACGGCTGTGAAACCTGGGCTCTAACCAGCGATGGAAGCCAGACTAGAGAGATTCAAAAGAAATGTTCTCTGCACGATAACAGAACCTATCTGAGATCAGCACCTTAACACATGAAGGAGAAGGAACAACATATAACTGCTAAAAGAAACTGGTCAATCAATATCTCCATTACTCAACAATGAATGCCAGAGTCGTCGGCAAATGGCCACATGGGAGGCCAAAAACCAGATGGATAGATAGTATCAATAAAAATACGGCTGAGCTTCATTCAGCAAACTGGAAAGCAGTAGCTCATATATATAATCCACACGAAAAATCTACCATTAAAAAAATGATTGAAATGTAAAGTGAAAATAACAGTAAAGATGTTTGAAAAATAATAAAAAAAAAACTTACAGAAATCATTGCTTTACGATTGTCCGAGGTTCCTTTTGCGCTTTTAATTTGTACTTTAGAATCGATATTTCCTTGTTTTTCTTTACTATTGCTGAGACTTGTTTCTCGGACATGAATAATCGGATAACTTATGAATCTCCTTGGAGGATCTTTTGATTTTTCGGATTCTGTTGAGGCAGTCGATGTTGATGAGTAAAGCGTTGAAATAGAATCCGAAAGTCCTTCGTCCGTAAATGTGCTGTAACACAAATTCGTATACAAGTTTATTGGCGATGTATTAGTTTTTTCTTTGGATGTCGGTGGTTGAAATATTTTCCAACTTTTATATTTCCGTTTAAATAGATCTGTAAATTGAGATCTATCGAACTTGGAGGAAGTTCTTTCTATTTCTTTGTCAACTTTTCCTAAAGAATAATTTGATTTTCGCTCCTCTTCACTTTCGCCAATAGGTCTTTGAACCGGCGGGTTATCTGATCTCTTTAAATTCATTGATTGTTTTCGAGACGTTTTATTAATTTTGTGATGTTTTTGGGAGCGTACATGTTTGTTTGGATCCGAATGGCATTTCTTGATTTGATTACGTATACCTGAATCTAATGAAAGAAGTGCGAGCCAAGGCGATTTCCTTGGTTTCTGGTTGGGATCTCTGAGTTGGGCAGCTCGAAGCATTTGTAGTTGAAGAGCTGATCCATACGGACATGAGGAGCTCCATTCACCTAATTCCGTTTTTTTATAATCACGAATTTCATCAGCACTAGCTTTATCTTCAAAATGCACATATACATCAGGCGCATCGAGATCTAGTATGCGTCCTGATAGGGTTGAGCATTTTGAATTTGCTGATGATTGACTTTCTTTTAAACTTTGTACGGAAGAGTTGTCGGATTCTTTATCACATATTTCTAATTGTTTTTGTTCAAGAGAAGCGTGTTCTGAAACTATAACTGATGCTGAATTGTTACCGGTGGCAGTCTGAAACAATTCTGATGACGTTTCCTCTGATGCTGAGCTTTGTTTTTCAGCAACGGTTTTCTCAACGATCAAACTAAATGGATTTGAATCGTCGATAGTCGATAGGTCTGGGAGTACATAATCTTGGGCGTAGGAAGATTCCTCTTCTGGAGTAGAAAATGTGCTAACAAATCGAGTCACTGAAGTAATTGCTGTCAAAGCAGCGCTGTCTGAATGGGAGTGTATTGCGGAGTCTTCAACAGAATGTACTGTTTCGATGATTTGTTCAATTTGCATAGCACCAGATACATAAGATTCGAAAGATTCTTCTTCATCCAATCCTTCTTCTTCTAACTCTGAGGAGTTTGAATGTATTTCTTCTTCTTCGTGTATTTCTTGTATTTCTTCTTCTTCTTGTACTTCTTCTTCTTCTTCTTGTATTTCTTCTTCTTCTTCTTGTATTTCTTCTTCTTCTTCTTGTATTTCTTCTTCGAATGTTTGTTCCTCAGATGTTTGTTCTTCGGATGTTTCTTCTTCGCTGGTTTCTTCTGAATAATATTCACTCGTATCTGTTTCTTCATTTTCAATGCTTGTGTCTTCAGTACTACTTTCGGAACTATCGTGCTTATCACTGCTCACTGATTCTGGAATGTAAAGTTTATATTCATCTGAGGAACTTTCAGTTTCTGTTTCTGCATATAGAGAAATACTATTGCTTTGTGAATTAGATTCATAAATATCAATATGCGGAAGTTCTTCTATTTCCAAGTTTTCATATTCCTTTCTGTCCATGTTAAGTTGACACGCACACTGAAAACAAGACAAAATACATTTAAACTATTTATAAATGTTAGCTATAAATAATCATTAAAATAACTTAGTTTAGTTAATAAATATTTTTACCAAGTTCTGGTCAAGTTAAGTAATACAGAAACGGAAGGAATTATTACTATATTTTGTTTACTTAAAAAAATCCTTTAATTCTTTACTAAGTAAAGAAGAAAAGCATTACAGTTGCTTAAAAAAATGAAATAGGATCAAGAAGTCATAACTTGGAAGTTATAAATCTATATTAGAAAAATAGAAAATTAAAGATTTTCTTGTAGGTTTGAAGCCACAGTCAGTAGCGGATCTATGATTTAATTTTGGGAGGACTTTTCTTTTTTTTTCTATTCAATAACGGTAATTATTCTGGAAGAAAAAGAAAATAAATACCTATACGAAAAGTCGATTTTAAAAATAACTGAATCAGAAAGGCACTGTTTGTCGTGGAAACGGTCTGATTTCTCAGCCTTCTTCCTACGCCACTTGTGGCCCATCAGTGTATGAAGAATGGTTGTGACACTAATCTTCATACAACGTCTTCCTTTTTTCCCTTCTCTTTATTGTTTTGAACTCTAACTTTTTCTCTAACCATTAAACAGTTTGTAAGAATTAAGAAGTTATTATTTAATCATCACGTAAGAGAGAATCGGAAAAATAATTTGATTTTAACAATACGATACCTTTAATTAATTCAACAAGATCATAAGATATTTCATTATTTTTTATTAATTATTAACAAAATACTAAAATAGTTATATACATTTAAACTGTCAATTTCACGTGCCTTATTATCTTATAACTAATTTATTTTTGTGTATTTCAAAATAAAATTACTTTATATAATTTTTAACCATTTTATTCTAATGCTGGTTCTCTTTGAAAATTAGAATGATCCATTATTATATCAACTTAATTCAATTCTGTTAGAATGCATTATTAATTTAATTTAATTTACCATTATTTTGTTTAAGACTGTCTTGAAAAGTTTTTAATTATTTTTTCATTATCCTCATGATTCTCATAGCAACTCCTTCCCCTCCCCCTAGAAACTTTATAGGTTCTATTACGGAAATCATACACATTCACTGTATTTAAAAATAGAATACTTTAGTAATATATAATAAGAATAATATGTTTCATATCCAGCAGATGAAATATATTTTTGTGAAAAATATTTTTGAATTTATCGCTTTAAATTTGAAATTGTTTTAAATTTTATGTCATTGAAATTAAATTAATAAAGTATTCAACAGAATTTAATTTAATTTAAGTAAAAATAATATTGGGCCATTCCAGATTTTTTTAAGTATCAGTGAAAAATAATTTGAAAAATTAAGGCCCCCTCCCTACCACGTAGATACGTTCTTAAGAATAATGTCAAGTCTTAAATTTATTTGCACGTCATTGAAAAACTGTCAAATAAGATATAGATTATTTTTAATTATGAATTAAATTTAAATAACTAAATGGTGATTTTTATTGCATACTTCCATGTGCACAGGAATAGTGGCTACTAAATCTCGAACTTCCTTATAGTAGATGCCAGTTTTCATTCCTGCAGCGTATCCTTGTATGGTGTCTGGTGCTTGTTCATGATAAAAATGGATACCTACCACTTTTTCCATCTGAAACACAAGATATGATTTTAATTGATGAAAATATATCTGATTAAAATTGTTTTAGATAGTTCAGAACCTATTTTATGATTATAAAGTAGTACCATTATAATTGTTAATACAGAATTTAAGATTTGATACTTCAGTATTTTATTATGCAGTGGGTCAAGAATTTACGGATTTTTTAAATTGCAAAAATATAAATCAAAATGAAACAAATTAAGTTACTTAATAACATAGACCGTGAGGAATATGGGAAAGACCTTGCTCTTCTTGTGCAAACACAAATGCAACTCTACGTAATAGTAATGTATATATGTTGTGCTTGAATGTATAGGAAAAGATGTAAATACTTAGTGTTGTTTTATAACTTCTTTGAGTTTCGTTAGTTATCGATCATGATTGACAATGTGAAGCTTTACTAAATTAATTTAGTAATAGAATGTATTAGACTATTGGGATATTTATTAGATTATATATTATGCCTTATGGTAGCTAAGTCCTTTAAGCAAACATTGAACTTGGACTAAATCTAGACAAAGCAGAACGGCTGCTTATATTTTCAGAAATCGAGAGCAAAATGGCAGAGATTTGGTCTACTGAGGAGGCGATGTACGAAGTTTTAAAAAAAAAATAACGAGAATTTTGTAATTCGAAAGGTTTTATTAGTTTGATTCACGTTTCATTGTGTAGGTAAACATGTCTGAAACGTATGTATACATTCCTTGAGTTAAGGAATTAATAGTCTATTGTCAGTTGTCAAAACTGTTACATTAGTTTTGTTGCTATCGGCGATTATTTATACATTAAAAACATATTTTGTATTAATTTTTGTAATATAAAAAAGAATAAGGCAAGGTACTTTAATGTTTGATATTGCTTTTATGTTTTTGATCAACCGCTCAACATGGCGAAAAATCGGGTATGCATTATACAACTTTCTCTTACCACACTATAATAATAATAATAATAATAATAATAAAAGGCTTAGCGAACCCGAAGGTTCGATGCCGACACCACCAATCGCTTATTGCACACCTCCCTCCACCGTTCACCGTCCAAACCCAGTCCCTTCAGATCGGCTTTAATGCAATCTTCCCACCTTCGCTTCGTTCTACCCCTCGGACGCTTACCATTCGGCACAGCCAATATTAACCTTTTAGGAATTCTCTCGTTACTAAGCCCAACAACTTTACACGCCCATTTGATTCGCCGCGATGAAATTACCTCAATTATATTACCCGGATACAGCTCACGCAATTCGGCGTTGTGTAACCGTCTGAACTCTCCGGTTAACTCATCCTTCTTCGGTCCGAATATTCTACGCAATACTTTATTTTCAAAAACCTTAAGACGCTGCTCATCCCTTAATGTAAGCGGCCAAGTTTCGCATCCATAAAGAACTGTAGGCAAGATAATTGTTTTATAGATTCTAATTTTTAAGTTTCGGGACAAGAGGCGCGAACTAAGTAGTTTTGTCACAGAAAAATAACAAGCATTCCCCGCCTTCAGTCTAACCTTAATCTCTTCTTCAATTTCGTTTTTTCTAGTTATCGTAGAACCTAGATACCTAAATTTATCTACCTGTTCAAACATATTACCATCTATATCGATATCACCAGTAGTATCGCCATTTTTGCAGCTAACCATATATTTTGTTTTATCCACGTTTATTTCGAGTCCTAGTTCTTTACCGGCTTTCATTAACGTTGTCGTATTTAGTTTTATAGTTTCAACGTCTTCGCTTAACAGTACCAGATCATCAGCATAGCCCAGCACGGATGTTGTCCCGCCCAGATCCAACCCTTTCTCGGTTCGCATTACCTCCCTAATGGCATGTTCTAATGCCAAATTGAACAGGACAGGCGAAAGAGAATCCCCCTGTTTTAAGCCCGAACGAACCTCAAATTTTTCGGACAAATTATTACCGATTCTAACTTTATTGAGTGTCTCCGTCAAGCACATCCTGACTAGATTTACTAGTTTTTTTGGAATCCCCTGCTCGATTAGAATATTATACAGTTTCTGGCGGTCAATAGAATCGTAAGCCTTTTTAAAATCTATATACAGCTGGTGAACAATACCGTTATACTCCAATTTTTTCTCTAATATTTGCCGTAAAGAAAATATTTGATCAATAGTCGAACGATTCCGTCTAAATCCGCATTGGTATTCTCCGATAATTTCCTCGGCGTATTCCGTGATTCGACTGGTTAAGATTAAAGTGAATATTTTATAACATACCGGAAGGAGTGAAATTCCTCGATAGTTATTACAATCCGTCCTCGGACCCTTTTTGTGAATCGGTATAAGAATAGATTCTTTCCATTCTTCAGGTAATTTCTCGTTCACCCAGATCTTTTTAACCAACCGATGTATTTTAGAGACTCCAGCTTCCCCGCATGCCTTAATTAGTTCAGTAGGAATATTATCGGTTCCCGCTGCTTTATATGATTTTAATTTTCCGATAGCTACTTCAACTTCCTCTTTACTTGGTCCTTCTATTAACGGTTCAGCACTCTGGTACTCAGAAGGAGGACACAGATCATAATTTCCCGTATTTAAAATATTGTCAAAGTGGTCCGTAAACTTATTCAATATGTCAACCGAATCGGTCAGAATATTGTTATTATCCCTAATTCCAGACGTTACGCGCCCTACATATTTACGTGATCTGTTTATACCTTTGTACATGTCTCTTATGTTATTTTCGATTCTATTAGTTTCTATTTCAATTATTTTATTTTTAAGATACTCCCTTTTTTTATTTTTGAGCAATTTTGTCGTTTCGTTCTTTGAGGTTCGGAAGTATTCCAGATTATCTTCGCTAGGATTATTTAGAGCTTTTAATTTAGCGGCTTTTCTTTTTTCGCACATGTTTAAGCACTTACCACACTATTCTCAGTAAAAATTGATTTTTTGAAAAATAAATAACCTTAATAATATTATATGAATTATGAATATAAATTTAGGATAGTTAATACAACTTATGACAATTCAGTGCACTATATGATTTTGGTTTCTCAAACTGAAAATAGGTTTTAAAGTTCTTCTCATATTTCTCAAGGGTGTTTCATCCATTTGCCATAGAAACATTTATTTCATATTCAATATTAATAAAAGTAGACATTTTTGACAACGAAAATTAAAAATTGGTTTTTTGTCTCTCTCTATTACCTTATTTGGCTATAGATTAGGTTAAATATTTAGCTTCCTTGCTGTATATTACGTATTTAAATTATTCCCGAAATTTGTTTTCAAACTGCTAAAATATTTATAGCATTATCTCATTATTTTTTTTTTCATTGTTAACATTTATTCATTTTGTATTACAACTTACAATGACCTTTAATTATTTCTGACAAATAAAATTAAAAGTACTTAAGAGAAATAAAATACAAATTCGGCATGTACGACCTTCAGACTATTTCAAGACTAAACATATAATAAATTCAATTTAATATTACATCGATAATACGGTGATTTTCATCAAAATTGTTAGAACGGTTTTTAACAAAATTGTGTTAAAGCTATTATATAAATTGGTACTTCTGGTAAAGTGAATTTTATCAAAAAAGTTGCTGTATCATACCTTAAATTCGTAATCTCATTTTTTTACGACTCTTGAAGTAATGGAAGCCTGAAAATTTTCAGTTGTAGGTACTCCTTAACATGAAACTTTCTTTCTAACACATGTTAGAAACAGCTTAAACATTACTCCTAAGTCAACATTGAGCGTTAATGCGACAATTTATTCACCATTAACAAAACTATATTCTGAAAATAATAGACTATAGAAGGTGTCTTCAGGGTTTGAGGAAAATGTTCACAGAAGTAATAATAATAGACTTCAAGAGCTACAAAAAACTTCATATTAACAATGGTTAGATTTTCAGTAGAAAAGAAGGAAATTCGAGTTATGTGTTTTTTTTTAGGTCATGTTTTTCGTTGAATGGGAAGCGATATCTAAAAAAATATTTGATTTAAGTATTTAAACATTGTTTTACAGTAGACTAGACAAAATTTGCTTCAAATAAAAGTAGAGTTTGTCATTATTAAAACATTTTATGATTATTATTATTATTTTTTTTTTTTTTTTAATGGAAGGCAGTGGATCAGCTGATGCGAAGGTTGTCTTTTCAACTCCTCTCTCAGTTTTTGCCTATCTTATAGCGGAATCTCTCTGATTATTCACATAATACAGTTAAAGTGTACATCAGAGCAGTTGATATTTACTGTTGACATCATTTAATAACATTACATCATTTTTTTTGTTATTTTTAATTTTTTTTTTCTTACTTTTTATTTTTCTCTTATGATATGCGGTATGATTAGCAAGAGATGGCCAGTAAGGTGCCCAAGAGGATTCGGTCAGACGGCGTTAGTACACCACGTGGTTCACCAGCCAAACAAAGGACTCGTCGCTGCCTACGAGAAATACCTCCAGTGACCAAAGTGAACACTTCAGAACCAGAATCTCAGCCCCAACCAGGTACGTCTTCGCTAGAAATGATTGAAGAATCGCCTTTCTTTACTCCAAACCCCTACCAAGTGCTTCAAAATGACCGAAAAGTAATGGAGTCTGCAACAATACCCAGAGAACCAAAGCCTCCTCCGATATTTGTGAAAAATATCAAAAATTTTCAGATGTTCTGCACCCAACTAAATAAAATCTGATCTGGCAGTTATTCATGCCTTAACAGGACCAATGACATCAAAATAACACCTGATTCTGCTGAAGCCTACCGAAAAATAGTGAAGTACTTATCAGAAACAAATGCGAATTTGTACACTCCTCAACCCCCATTGAAGTTATTAAAGAAGAACTAACGACGCTTGGTTTCAATGTACGCCAGGTATCAAACGTTTTGAAGGACAGGGAGCAGCCAGGATTACGAAATAGGATCCCACTACCATTGTTTTTCGTGGACTTGGAGCCATCACCAGGTATCAAAAAAAAATATGATATCACAAGAATATACTACACAATGGTAAAAGTTGAGAAGCCA